TATGTTTATAGATTCACAACATTTAAATTGGAAGGTCAATAATTCGTAGGTTCATTAACATTAATGAATTGGATCTACTTACATATTTATGAAAGAATTAATGATACTATGTTTATGAAAATTAAATAATTTTAGAATTATTAATATGTGAATTTCAAAACCTCAACCAATTGACCTCATTTACTCTGATTTTTATCTTCTACATACAGGAATTATAGACTATTCATTTTCTAAGTGTATTGTTTATGTAGCTGATTTAATCATACAGATTTCTTTGCCTGATAAAACACAGGAAAACTAGGCTTATGAAATGTACACAGCCATGTCAGTTTCAATCAGCTGTTATTTTGACAGTTGACATAGAGAACAAATGTCAATTTGATGAGCCAGAAAATCAAATTTTATGGGAGTGAAAAATGCATTAGTCTTCATGCAAGGTACCTCAAAGGCTAATATATTTATAATTTTTTATGCAAGTAAACTTTTCCGGGTTAATGGGTTTTATTCTTCAAATTATGAAAATATCTTTCTTTTTGTGTTAATAAAACTAACTAAAACATCTTGAAGTAATGAAATAGACTGATAATTCATTGAGAAATTAAAAAAAAGTTAACACTGATTAAAAATGTTGTATCTGTACTTAAAAGGGATAAACATCTCAATATGAATATAATTCTGTATGTTAATTTTTTTTCCCACTAAGTTTTATTTTATTTTTTCTTAACATTGTGCCATGGTATTAACTCTTTTAAATTCTTGATAGCAGATTTAATATAAAAAAATAATCCCATGATGAACATCAAAAGGTGAAATGTAAATATTGAATCTGATGTGCAATTACCATTGGCAAAGATTTAATGCAAAGTTGCAATTAGTGTTCTTCAGCTTTGGGGATCTGGTGTCATTTTGCTTGCAATTATATAGAACTTTTTCATTTTCTAATGATGCTGTCTTGTCTGTGTTCTATTGTTCCCCATGTCAATCGGAAATAACGTCTTAGCATTATGGAGGCTTAGCAGCGATGCCGAAAGCTTGCATTAAAAGTTTTCGGCTTAATTTGTCCAACTAAATGGCTGAAATGTTATTTAGATATTATTCCAGCTGTTTGCGAGGATGTTGATGAATATTAAAGAATCACTGTTACGATGCAGAATTACGTCTTTTATGTTTTCCGTAATAAGAGATAGTCATATTAAATTACTGATCGCTGACAGAGGAAAATTAAAGTTATTATCGACTATTGTCATTGAGGGAATGTAATCTTTAGAAATTTAATTCAATGTTGATTAAATATGAAATATCCCCAGGCATTTATCATCAGAAATGAAGAATCTAAAAAATAATTAGATTTAGAGGACCAATTAATTGTATTATGAAAATATTAAAATATAATATTGTTATTTTCAGGTAACTATATCTTTTACTTAACAGATAAAATATATAACTATTAACCACAGCCAAGTTTATTTTTAGGGTAATTTCTGGTCAAAGACCTAGATTTGATCTCACACTGACATAATGAATTAAAAGATGATTGCTGTATTCTTTTTATAGCATGCTGTCTGAACCAAGTTCTGTCCACATCAGTTTTCCGTATTTATTTTATAGTATTTAGCCTATTTAAAGTTAATACCTGTTTAATCAGACCACAATCAGTTTGGTTTTTTATATACAGGTTTCCTCTACAGGCTCTTGGAAAAGAAATTGAAAAATATGGCCTTACTTTGAGGGGGAAAGGAAATTAGATTGCAGGGGTTGCCTTTAGAAAGTGCTGATATAGTGGGTCAAGCTTCTAGGCCTGGTCAAATTTTACAATGTCTTGTGGAACAACATTAAAATATATGTATAAGTTAAAAGAATTGACTGTAAATGAATATGCTTCCAGCCAGTAAGTTTTAACACTGACTTCTCCAGATGCCAAGAGAGCAGTTTTTCTTTTAGATTGCCCTTTGTAGACAACTTTACAAGAGGACAGTACTAAGTACTTAGTAATTTTATAAGTATATGATATCAGCCTATTTAAGTTACTCCCTGTACATATGTTGCTTATGATAAACACATATCAAAGGAAACAACTAGACAAAATGCATTGTTATATAATAAGGTATTCTTTAAGGAAAACAAATTTATGAAGTGGTGCTTAAAAAATATAAGGAAAAGTACTTCATTGTTTGCACTTCAGTTTGTTAAGTGGTGTTTTTGTAAGAATATAGATTTGTGGTACATTAAGTCCAAATAATGCTAAAAAATACTACTTTTAAAAATTATCAAAAGACAAGGAAACAGTACCAACACATTCTGCATTCATTGTATACTCTTCACTGTTCTATACAATGTATAGCAAAAATACCTAAAATAAGTGTATACCATTGATGTTTATGTTGCTTTTTTATTGTATTTTATCTGCAGATGGGAATATCGGTAGACTTCAGACCTCTATTAATTCCCTTTGTTTGTTGTCTAGATATATAGTTCCAAAGTATTATATGGGGAAATATAATTGTGGTCTGAGGCCAGTATCTTGCTATAGAAGTTTAAGATTCTCAATAACATATATCCATGCTCTTACCCAAACATATAGTCATTGAAAAAATGAGTGGGATGTGTGTTATCTATACTTGTAACATACCAAAAAAGATAGATCTATATGAATGACTGAAAATTTAATTTCTTTGACAGATGTTTTTCTGACTTTGTATAAGATTCATGTAGGTCAAATGCTAACATATTGCGATATACATTTGTATTATCTGCACCTTTGATGGACAGATAAGTGAAATCTCTACTACTTGGACCTAGCAGGGGGTTGTATCTCCTCACTTAAGGGACTTCAGATTATAAGATTCTTATAATGTTTATGGCATTAGGAAAATGAAAAAAAAATTATGAATTTTCAATTTGTATGAAAAGGAGGTGACAGTAAATTACTTATGTTATAAACTCTTAAATCCATTTGGAATATACCAACCAAGTGAGAAAAAACCTGGGGGAAATCTTATCAATGCCAATAGTGTTGAGTTGCTCCAGACCTAACCCCCAATTTTTAATTTTGGTACCCTTGCATTGTGTATGAGTTGCTTAAAATTTGGATGAGGAAAGCTTAAGTAAGAGTGTGGGATGGACGGAAGGATGGTCAAGGGTAACACTTTATTACGGCAATGGGGCATAAATTTTTTTTAATTCATGTGGTAATAATTAGCATTTTAGAAGAAGGATGAGAAGCACCAGTACTGTCTACTGTCTCTAACTGAAAGGCTTGCCTGTATTCTTGTATTTTTTTATTGCCATCCTGCTTGAAATAAACTTTTTCAAGATATACAATGATATGCCCTAGTACCATATTTCCAATATTTAGTGTATTAAACAAATCTGAAATGCTGTGATGTTTTATATTGTCCTTGACTGAAAGGTCCAGGGTTTATGATGAAATTTCAGTCAAATTTTGTTCACCCTTGGGCGAAATACTTAACCATCTTAGAACATAAATTAAAAAACCCGGATCATTTTCCTAATCCTACTTGTACATCAAGTGTTGTTTCCGAATGGTTTCTTATGAATATAGGAAATAATAATAATATTTACCAGGAAATTTGTTTAAAGGGCAAAAATATTTATTTGCAAACTAAATTTGACCACGGAAATTATCCTACATATTATCAATTAATTGCTGACGCAGGTAAACAGTCGAGAAAAATAATAATGTTGTTTGCTGATATGTTACATGACATCCTTCTTATAGAATTTTTATGACTTCATATTGTGTAAATACTTCACTCCTTTGATATCTTATCTAAATAAAAGTGTAAAACTATGTCATGAAAATAGATAACATCACAATTTCAAACTCTTTCCTGTTTTCTCACTTAGAATTTGTATCTTAGAAATTGAAATGAACAATTTTGTTAATTTGTTCTTAGAAATACTTATAGTTGAATTGTAGTTTAATAGTCACCAGGTTTTTTCAATACCCCACATCTTTTCATCATTTTTAATGATGATTTTTTTTACATTCAACATAAAATATGATCATTAAAAAATAAGGAGATGTGGTATGATTGCAAATGAGACCACTATCCACCTAAGAGCCCAAATGATGTGAATCTAAGCAATTATAGGTTACTGTACTGCCTTCACCAATTCAGTATAATAAGCTAAATGTATTAAAGGCCCCAATATGAAAATGTTAAATAGTTCAAATAAGAAAATTAAAACCAAAGGCCTAAGTTATGACAAAACAACTGAAAAAATAAATGTGTTGTCCATTGATAGTATGATTGATTGATCTGTTTCATGAAAGACTAGTTTGCATAAATAGCTGAGTTGATTGGGTCTATTAGGATGCCACTCGAATGTGGACAAATTCTCCACCTTTGGACCCTTTCATAAAGGTATTGAATGTGTTTTATGTGCTTAGAGCATGGCATGTACCAACAAGGGCATCATATTCATTGACCCCTAAAGCCCTTTCCTATCTTTGTCATCTATAACATACTATTGTCCATTGATAATCTACTATGATCAAAAATTAGTTTGTTATGACTTTACTTAGTTTACTTGTAGTCAAATTGTATAGTTAATATGTACTAGATACTTATTTGGAATATAAGTACTTTAAGTCTCAATAGGCTTTTAAAAATATCTTTGACTCCAATTTTGACAAGTACCGTTTTTAGTTTTTAATTATAAAATCTTGAGGGCTATAAAAGTCTTTCCAAATTTCTTAATTGAATGAACAATAAGGAAAAACTATGGATGAAAAATAAAATATTTACATAATGTACAAGATATATGTGTTGCAAGAGTAAACCTTGATGTCCATTACCCAAGAATTTTCCAGCTAAAATATTTCAAATTCTTTCCTTGAAAAGCATTAGGATTTCTGCTTGCTCCAATCAAAGTATTTTCCGTGTAGGGTTGCAGGTCTATTGTTAAATTAAGTTAGCTTTAGAACAGTTGTATAACTATGAAATGATACATCATGTTATTATATTTTTTTGCAGTTTCAAATCTCCAGTGACCGCAATTGTATTAACAAGATGGAGTCAGATTTCCATGGTCAAAGTCATTAGACCTAAGTATGTATCAATAGATTTACTTTATTATTTATAAGTAGGTTTAGAAACACCCATTTCATCCAACAGACAAATAGACTCAAGATTTTACATATTTAAGTATGAATATGAATACATAAAGATTTGGGAAAATGATACATATAGGTCCTAGATTTTGTAATCCGTCTAATTATTGTAATGTCTTAAGGTGATTATGAATTTGAAATCATAATCTGACAAAAGAGACAAATTGCAAGCTTTTCCCTATGCAAACAATTTGCTGAGAGTTTATTTTTGCTATAATCTATGAACGTATATCTAGGTAATAATGTGTCACACTTAATTCCTTTTGATCTGCGGAGAAAATTGACATGTAAAGGACTAATAACATACCAAAGAAATTTGGAAGTTTTAAATCGTAAGTCACCAATTGTTTGAATCGCTACATCAGCACGTTTCAGGTCAGGTATTGGTGTCTAGCGGAGTGTGTAAGGTTTGATTCATAGTGAGACCTTGTCATTTGTGCTGTGATTGTAATCGGAGAGGTTATTGTCAACTAAACTCTAAAGTGAAATCAGTTGATTGTCAAATGTGTATTCTTTCACCTGAAATCAACGACACCTTTGTTCAGTACTTTGTATTCATAACTAGACCCGTTAATGGAGACATATAGATCAGACTTGTATTTCGGCCTTCTTTTCTGTTTGCATCATTTTGTTAAAATTAGGTGAACCTGAGTCATGATAAACTTTTAAAGGGGTTTTATCATTTCTCAAGTATTTAAAAGTAGGTTGTTTTTCACCTCTGCAAAAACTTGTTCTATTAACTAAAACTGTTCAGTCATCTGTCTGTGTAGAATTTTTTGTTATTGATTGAGCATATTAAAGGAAAATGTGTTTAGCTAAATCATCAAGTCAATACATATGGTACATAATCAGATTGATTGATTGATTGATGGAAGTTTAATGTACTGTAAATTCAGAAATTATTCTGGTTTTTATTAATGCGGAAAAATTCGTGGTTTTTGTTAATGCGAAAAATGCGACTGGTAGAGTATTGCAATAAATGCATGCAATATGTTTTCAGAATTTACAGTATTAATTAAGGAAATATGAGAAATTAAAACCAGGTTCCAAAACCCCTTAAAGGTACAAAGAAAATGTTAGAGCAAGGTAGTTTTAAGATTTAAAAGGAAGTCTTTGTTGACTTATTTCTATCCATTAGATAACACATAATCTCTCTTAATAGTTTTTACCAACTGAAAGGGTCCCCATTGAGTTCAAAATAGCCTTCTGGTGGTCTAAATGACAACAAAATCCAGGGAAATCTTTTTTAAAGGCTTTCATTATAAACATAGGTAGCTATACAGTACACAGTGGATTTTGACCCACTTTTATCCTTTGGACGCTCAAATGTCCAAAGAAATATTTTGGTACTGATGATTAGCTGAATTTGTCCTTGTGCAGAAATCTAGCTTGAATTCTCTACCAAATGACCAGTGTCAGAAATATAATATATCACCTAGCGAGGACAGATATAAGACATGAGTCAAATAAATTCTAATATTTATAAATTACTATGGCAGAAAAGTTTTGTCATGACTTGAAGAGAGATTGGAATGCAATGGTACTGTTTGACCTGAATTATAAGCTAAATAAAATTTCCTCATGAAATTAGGACAGGAAGAATTTTTCAAGTACAACTTGACTATCTGACAGGATGTTTGTCTTATCTTCACTTTTAATATGGAAAATATGGTGAAACTTCTTCTCTTTAATGCTGGTATATTTGATATTTTTGAGGTCTCAGTGGGTGAAAAGTTGAGATTTAAACATATTTTTTGATTCATTATATTTTTATATAAATAAGTTTTAATATTTGACCATACCTTTTGAAAGAAAATACAACTACAAAAAGCAGGGAATACCATTGATAAAATTATCAATAACTTTACAGTTTGCTTAAATGTCAATTAACTTGAGAAAAAAAAAAATCAACAATTTGTTACCTTGTATCATTGTTGTGTGGTGCACAAATCACTTCTAGGTCTTCTACCAATATAAACAGCAACTTAATTGGACATTCTTAGGCTCAGTTGTTTCATTGTCATCTTAAGTTCCGGAGATTGTGAGATTGATCCCCAGCATGGCCTAACAAATTACATTAGAATTTGTATTTACTGCATCAATTCTACACTTTACATGCAACATTCAGTATAAAAAAAATTGTTCTGGTAGGTAGATATTTCTTTCTGCAGATTGTTTACTGTGTGGTCAAGTATTAAGCCCGGTTGTCACTATCAAGATTTCTTGGTCAAAGTTCTTGATGAATTTTTTTATAGTGACAGCAGTCGGACTTGGATGGAATAGAATCTCGTCCTGTTTTTCAAGAAACTTGGATGGACTTGGACGGGAATTATCCAATCACAGTGCAGTTTTTTCTTTTACCAAGTTTTTGATGAAATACTTTGATAGTGACATCCGATGGATGACTTTGACCAAGTAAACTTTGATAGTAAAGTGTATTCATGTATTATATTTAACAAGCTACTGTCCTGAACTTGCATGTTATATTTGCCCCTTAATGTTTCATATGCATCCATTAATCAGGCAATGTTGCTAGTGAACACATAAGCATGTTACTTTTCTGTACAGTTCAAAATTTTAAATGGAATACCTATAAATAAAACTGAACTTATGTGATTGAGGACAAATGGGCTCCTGGTTTCGTAGCTCAATAAAAATCTCTAAGGACCAAATATTATATTTTTATAATTTATAGTTAATCTCTGAAATAAGTATTCAGCTAGGCCACTAGGTAATTAATCTGAAATTATTATTCTCAATATATTTCTTTTCTTCCCTTCCTCTCATCTGACAGTATTGATATAGTCATATTGTCACATCTAAACACTCATTAGATCTTTTTTATTGCTTCATGTATACCATCCTATTTGCAACTATTAATTATGACTAATTGGACCCATAAAAGTATAATGCACCATGCAGAAGACCTCACATTATATAAATTGCAAGATGCATTTAATTTTATTCTAAGTATATAAAAGCACAATAATTATGAACAGTATCATTAATTTTGCAGATTAAGTTTCAGTTATAATACATGTCCCTGATGAACTCTTTTTTGGGGATGTCACATCTTTTATATTTTATAGTAGACCACAGACAGATTTATTGTAAAGAATTGATGTGTATGTAGTGCATGTTATGTTTTGGACCTATTCTTGCCTGTTTCAAATTTCCTTAGATATGGCACCAACAAGTTCATTTTCAGTTCATTTATTATGCTCTTGCCATATTATGGCTGATGGCCATATTTTCATAAAAAAAATTGTTAATATCCTGCAGATAAAGCACACATATTTATTACATTTATAAAGAATTAAAATCCCTGCTCAAATAAGTAAAAATTGTATACGGTAATGCAGAATAATTGTTTTTATTTAAAAGGTAAATTTTGCCTCATGTTTTACAGTTTGCTTCTCAAAGGAAAAAATTTGAAATTAATCTTTCTTTCAAGATCTTGTTACCACAAAATATTGGGAATTTGTATTGGTCCAAAAGGCATGTACATTAATTGTAAGTGATCTCCCTTTTACCTTCCGAGAGTTGTCTTTCTTTTCGTCCTTTTTCATGCAGGATGGACATATTCTCTTCAAGTACCCCTATGTTACCTCGATGACAGAAGATTGTACTATCAGCATTTCTGTAAACTTTGTCAAGCGGTGTTCTGGTTATGGTTTTGATTATAAGTTTGTTATTTTTTTATGCCAGATGCCACCTCTTTTTCTGCTATATCTATTAAACTGATAGTCCAGGAAATGACTTTGAAATTAAAACCGACTTGTAAAAAACTAAAACATATGATGTGTATTGGGGTTTTTATGTTTATAGGAGCTACTCCCTGGAGATATGGTTTTGAAATTGAATACGACTACAAAATGATCATTTATTTAATATTTTGGTAGACAAGATTCTGGGAGAATTTGTTTCATGTGTCTTTTTTGATGTAATTGCTGAGAAATTGTGAAGAAGTTGGTAACATAATTAAGTAAACTGTTATTTTGTATACAAAGTGATAAATATGTCACATTTAGTGGGTATCAATTGGTTATTGGTTAAACTTCTATACAAGAGTTTTAGTGTCAAAATGAAAAAAAAAAAAGTTTTACAATAGCCAAGACAATATCTGTAAATTCAGAAATGTTTGTGTGTATTTATTATTGTGATTGTTGAACCACAGACCAAAAGACAGATAAATGATTGTGGTTCAAAGAAATGCAGCATAGAATAATGCTGTCAAAATTTTAAAATTCTTACTTATATTTTTGCTAAACCTATCCCATCGCAATTTTTCGCAATAATAAACGCATCCCAAAAACTAGCATCTAGAGTTCACAGTACCCAAGCATTGAATGAGTGATACCATTAGGCTAAATAGACTTATCATGTTATAGGGAGGGAGAGAGAAAACATATTTATAAAATTGTCTGCTATTCAAATGAGATTTAAATATGAAAATAAGAAGATGCTGTATGATTGCCAATGAGACAACTCTCGACAAGAGACCAAAATGACACAGAAATTAACAACTATATGTCACTGAACGGCCTTCAACAATGAGTAAAACCCATACTGCAAAGTCAGCTATTAAAGGCCTTGAAGTTTTTTTATCAAGAAAAGTTTGAGATAACTAGATACCGTGGTTTAGACTATACTTATGGGATACGCCATTCAGTGTTAATTTGGACCTTTTCTGGGGACTTGAAAATTGGTAGACACTTGGTATTTATTATTGTGATTGTTGAACCACAATTTAGCCCTTAGTTATTCATTTGACCAAATAGATATTAAATACAATGAAAGGATTTTTATATTTGGATTTGTAAGGGCATTTTATCCGACAGAGTTGGGGTTTATTTTTACCCATAAACTAATAATAATAACTGCCTTATACACTTTTTGTCAATAATTTTTCAATGATAACATAATATTGAATTGTAT